TGGGAGATTAACTTTGTTAGACGTGTGATAACGCCCTGCACGTCACAAGACCTGTCACGCTGATGGACGAACGCTTGAGCATTTAGCCTAATGTTCAGTCCCATGACTTCCATCGTCTTCAGAATAGATTGTGGCGAAATATGTCTTCGAAATAGAAATGTGGCGATTTCAACGACTTTTGCTTCAGAATGAAGGTGCTTCGGAGCGAAGGTCCAAATTAGCGAATTTAGTGACTCATTATTATTTTGAGTCTCCGCTCCCAAGCACTTGGTCGGTAAATTGTCTGTTGATAAATCGTCATATATGGGCTTAATAACTTCCTGAACGTTTTCTGAAAGAGGCTTCTTATCGTGTACAAATCGATCACTGATTCTCAGATTTTCAGCTCTACGCCACCCACACCAACTATTTTCACCTGCAGGACAGTTCTGATGCTGTGGCTTATCATCTGTGGAAATCTTGTGATAAAAAGTGGCCCAAACTTCTTTCTTCATATCAGCAGTGGAATCCGGATGTCTTCGAATAGCCAATCCATAAAATTTTGTCAATTCGCCAATTACTTTATCAGTGAGTTTTCCCTCGCCTTTTCCGCCTATGCCCTTGTTAGCTTTCTTTGCATTTCTAAGCCGAGTCCCCATTCTCTTTTCAACATGCCCAACATATTCTTTTTTAACAACTACTTGATTATTTCCGTATGGTTGTGGATTTAAAATACCTTTAAATGTCTTACTGTCACCATCACCTATATACGTCAAATATTTGACGCTATGTTTATGTATTGAACGTGAAAACATTTTCACGATGCCATCTATCTCCATTTTTCCAGAACTTCTACTATGATTTATCGTGCAATTTTCTTCATGGGATGCGAACCAATCTTCATATCCTTGTGGATCATCCATCTTTTTATTTTTCCACGAAGAACATCCCTGGCAAAAGCTACTCAACACACACGCATCCACTACTTTACCGGTATATTTAGCAATAAGTGTTGAGACGCCGAATAAAGATGAAAAACCTCGCTTTTTCCGCGTTCCATCGCCGGAGACTGTAAATTCATCTTCTGGTTTTCCGGCTTCTTTATTGAGCTCTTTCTTCTGAGTAATCGCCAAGGACAACACATTTTCATAAACGGCCGAAGCAGCTATATATATATTTTCTAATACTCCATAATAGGTATTTCGAGCGATACCTTGTCCCATATCCATCAGTCCACAAAATATTTTTAATCCTTCTAAGCCGAGTCCTAATAAACGAATCACGAAAACCATGCGACGATTTATTTCGTATGCATTATCGATCTCACGGCATGAGTTGATTTGTTTTGTGTCGTCACATACGCACTCCAAAGAAATCATGAAACCCAAGCCTCGTACACCACACTGTTTAAAAGTTACTTCGCTTTTGCAATTCTTACAAATGACAGACGATGAAATGGCTGAGAAAACACTAGTAAACTCCAAAATGCAGTAAACTGAGGTTGTAGTAATGGTCAGTTCAAAATTTTTCTTTGCTCCAAGTTTCTTTGCTGACGTAGATGTAAATGACGTATCATTTTCAAGTGTATATTTATTTCCATGAAATTTTCGTTTCCTAGTCCGACCTCTATGAACTGGCTGAGAATGAGTTCCCTTTTGATCCATTTCCAATAATTTTTTAAAGTAGAGCGAGGAAAAATATGCTGTGCGCTGCGTTGATGCTACGACGAAACTGATCTACCGACGCTATACACAGATGTTGCAACGTATTTGTAAACAGTTCTGCGTCTCCTACTCTTGAATCTGAACAAAGAAGGGCCAGGTAGCAACTGGGCTCGAGAATATTCGATGCGAAATCCAGCGCTGCCCTAGCCTGCTGAGCGGGCTCCCGTGCGCTCCGCGTACCTGCTCCGTTTTACGGTTGTAACTTTTGAACGGTTCCTGTTTTCGAAAAATTCTTTTACCCACGTCTTCTAAACATGTTTAAGATGTGATTTATAAACAAAAAAAAATTTGATTTTTTTGACCTGAGACACTAGACGACCCCCTTATGGTGTCCAGGTTGTTGAAGCCGTGTGGTAAACGTAAGAGAGGAGAGTGTCCTGGATTATTTACGTACCTCAGGCCGTGCGAACAACAGAGAGGATACTATAGTTTGAGCGAAGCGCCAAAGCGTCGCTCGTTGCACACTTTTTTGGACACTGTAGACTTCTACGTCCAACACCTAGATACAAGAAACTACAGAGCGCAACACCTGGACACCCTGGACTTCCACATCCAGTACCTAGATACAAGAAACTACGGAGCGGAATACCTGAACACCCTGAACTTCCACGCCCGACACCTAGATACAGAAAACTATAGAGCGGAATGCCTGAACACCCTGGACTTCCTCATCCAACACTTGGACACAGGAAACTGCGGAGAGGAATACCTGGAAACCCTGGACTCGTACATGCGACACCTAGATACAGGAAACTACGGAGCGGAACACCTGGAAATCCTATATCTCTAAAAAGTGTCACTTAAAATACGAGGAACTATGTCCACGCACACACATACGTACACGAATACACACGCGCTCGATATGAAAGTTTTAATAATTCTATACTATTTTGAAAGCAGCCTTATATTAACTGGAAATTCGGTGTGAACGGTAGCTTCACGTACAAAATGTATTTGATTGTGTTGGGTATTCCTAAATTACCAACACCATCCAGAGTACAAATAGGTAAAGAAGGCAAAGCAGTCAGCGCCATCTATCGTGTAAAAAAGGAGATGGACGTGCGAAGACGACGACGACGACGACGATGACGACGACGACGGAACTGAAATAAAATCATCTCGCTCGCCAACTCAGTACGCCCTGTGGCGGGATTCTGTAACTCTCAATCGACAATTCTCGATATCGTTAACTAACGATATTTGTCGCTTGCGCGAGCGTCGCTACCTCCGTTGGGTGATCCTGTAACTTCCTTCTATCGATAATTATCGATGAAAAATCTTGTTCGAAGGCAGCGACAAAATTCGATATCCGTTCATTGGCAACGTTCATCTCTTGGGTTATCCTTAACCAAATTATAGTGATATCTAGAGGAATTTGTGAACACGTGAAAACTTCGGAAAAAAATATTGAGCTATTTTTAAATATAAGCAAACGACCACAAAGAATAAAGAAACGTTTAATATGACAGATCTTAAAATGTGAGTATCTTTCTTTCATCATTTCAATATATATAAATATAAGTAAAAATAAATTTCAAATATCGATTTTTGTACAGGAAGAAAATACGAAGTGCCCGATCGTCTGAGCAACAAATTTTGAAGATGCTCGACTTTTTTCTGCTAAATAAAGGCCTTGCAGAGGGCAAATTTTCCATTCTTAACGGCAAAGATGAAGCACAAGAGAAGTGGACAGAATTAACCAAAGAATTAAATTTAATAAAAGGTGCCGTTAAAACCTCTGAACAGTGGCAAGTGGTAAGCATTTCATTAATGTAATCTTTTAAGAAAGGTCTTCGTGTTTAAATCATAACCGGTTAAATCATAACCTTTCCGTAAAAGGTGGAACCTGTTTTGTCAAAACCCAACTCTGGGAAAACTTCCGACTATTAATGTTTACGTGCTAACAAGGTATGGAGAAATTTGAAGAGCCGAACATCGACGAAAATCAGAAATCTTCGAAAACGTAAGGCAGCAACAGGAAATAAGGCGTTGGATCTCCCACCCTTGACAGTGATCGAAGAACGAATCGTTGGAATTGTTGGCACGAGTTACATAGGAGGAAGTAGGGACTGCGCTGACAGTATTCCTGAAGAGGAGGTATATTCCGAATTATCGAAATCTTTTAGTACTTTGTGGATTTATTTTAGCAATGGATAGTCTGTTTTAGCAGTTTATCAGAAGGCGGTATATTGAATTTATAATATTCTTTATAACATAGGATTTACAAGAGGCGCTGGCTGAGGGAAATACGTCAGTCTTATCACTACATCCTACGGTTTCCAGCATTTATATTAATAGCGAGATTCCTCTTCAAGAAGAATCAGTAAATGTTAGCAGTGAAGCCCCAAATGGTTTGGAAAATATTTCGAATTTTTAACTTTGATTCTATTTATTATAACTCTAAAATTGACGTCGTGAGAGAGAATGTTCTAATGATAACCTGGATAACAGTTCCTCCTATACCACCGACAAACGTATCAACATCATATCTTTGGGGTGAGAAGTGCAAAGTTCCAACCTGTACTTCACGGACCACCAAAACAAGTAAGAATATCTGATATATCTGATATATTTGAGACAAATTATCTTCTATTGTTCTATTGAAAATGGTTGTTTTATTGCAGCTAAACGTCTGAGGCTCTCCGATACATTAAGCTCAGCTAGGGAAGAGTTTCAAATGATTTTGAAGGAGCAAACTAAAGCTATGAATGTAAGATCTAATTGCATACGTGTAAGAGCTGGTGCAGTATTTTTCTGTACTTATTGACCGAGAAGGAATAACGTCATTAGTCAAATTCTTGCAGATGCTTGCCGAAGCTGCCAAAATACAAGCTGATGCAGCTATGCTAAATGCCACTGCCATGCAGGACTTAGCAAAAGCATCAATTCAACTGGCAGAAGCTGCTTCCGTGCAAGTTGCAAATGAGGAAAAGCGAATTTCAATCATGGCCAAGTTGATAAATGTATTGTCCAATTTGTTGCCAATTTATTTGAATGAAAATATATAAGTTTAACAGATTGTTATGCCGTCGAGTTCTGTAGGATTACAAATAAATTGCACCGATTTGGAATTATATAGAGAACTATTATAGTTTATTGAAGTTGGTTTAATGTAAATACTAAGGTAACACAAGATTTAATAGGAGTAGGTACAATGATACTAATTATTCACAACTATGAATTGCGCTCCAGGACTTCACTCTTAGCTAGGAACTTTGCGAGTGACCGCTGTGGCTCACAAGGTGTCTCTCGTCGCTTTTATCTTAACACCTTATGCATAGGGTCAGCATTCGTCTAATGCTGACCTTGCGTCTGGAGATTAACTATACGACGAATCCTATCGTGGGGCATAACAAGATATAAAATTATGACGCCATGTTCGGTTTAAGGAAGTTATAAGCTGAAGTATAAACAAAAGTTTTTCATAGAAACATAGCTTCCTTTATGAGGAAGCATAAACATTCTAAGTACATGTTAGAATGTTAACATATATGCAGCAAAACGAAAATGCAAAAATCCTATGAAAATGTGTAACTCCACACAGAATGAACAATAATCCGATATAATTAAGCTATTCGCCAAATCTTTGCCTAATCAGGAGATCTTGGAAGCGACGTGCAGAGGTCGAATGTTAGCATCTGGATGAAAATCATATTCATCAGCATGGTTTACATCGTCTTCTTCATGGATGACGTCATCCAATACATCGTCATTGAGTAACCGATGATTAATGCGCATATTGTGCAAAACTGCACACACGTTAACAATTCTTCCCGCTGTGCCAGGATCATACTGTAGGACTCGGTGTTTTGAAAGGCACCGCCAGGTACTTTTCAATACGCCGAAAAGCCGCTCGATACAATTTCTTGCACTGCAAAGGGCCTCATTGTGTCGAAAGCGTGGATTTCCTACAGGTTCATGTGGCAAAGGAGTAAGTAGCCAGGGTTCCAACGGGTATCCTTGGTCACCTACATACAAAATTTCCGTATGTATTAATATACGTTGAATGAAATTCTAACATTTTTAGTCATAGAAATGAAATAATAAATAAAATAGTACCGATGAGGAATGTTTTCCGATCGCCGCGTTGATAAGCCCTTTCCATAACGCTACGTGCAGCAGAGGCACTCCATATATACGCGTCATGCCTTGCTCCTGGATATCTTGCATTGACGTTGAGGATTTTTAAATTTGGGTCGCATATCTAAACAGTTGAATATTGAATTGGAGTTAATGTAGATGTAATTTGTATAGTTTGCATAAGTAAATAGTGAGATAAATACCATTTGCACATTTAAAGAATGATACCCATGGTGTTTACCTGGATACCCTGTTTAGGAGCAAGTATTGCCACATGGGTGCAATCTATCGCTCCTATAGCTCCATCAAATGGTTGGGAAGCAGTTTGAAATTGTTGTCTTGCTTGCTGCCTGGCCTCCATAGTCATGGGAAATTGTATCCACTGACGAAATATGTGTTCATTGATGGCATCAGTTACTCTGTGTATGCATCGACTTACTGATGGCTGGCTCATTATTATTCCCCATTGCTCTCCTACAGGACGTTGAAAGCAGCCAGTGGCATAAAATCGTACTGTTGATAATATCTAAAGCACAAAAATCGCATATTCACAGCAATCACTAATTTTAACAATTAGTAACTCCATATATTCGTTTGAAAAAGTATATATACCTGTTTTTCTACAGATAATCCCGTCATTCTGGTGTCCTGCAGATGAGGTGCTAATAAATCTACAAGGTTTGACATTAACTCTGGCGTCAAACGGTACCGTTCCGTAAATTCAGTGACAGTTAAGTCGAATGGGTCTTGTGTCTCACGCAAAGCTTGCCTCTCCACTCTTCGCTCTAATAGTTGGAAACGGTTTTCTAAAGCGACTAAATCAAGGGCAAGATATCCATTAGCCATTCTGAAAAGAAATTTATGCATTTAAATGGAATATCTACATTGTGATACACATAAAATTGTATAAGAATTCCTAACCTTCAATGAACTAAGATAATCCATTGCTACAGCAAGATTTAGATTTAGAGATGATAGAAGACTGTCATAAATATAGAGGTTAACTATGAGACCATCAAATAACTCCAATCAATTAAACACTTTTACATGTTTAATTAGAGAATAATACTTTAGAGTTTCATCGACATAATGTTAATATTGGCAGGTATGCATTTAATTATTATATAAAAAGTGTCCGTACGATTCTTACTCTTGTGTCGCTAATAACCATTGCTGTTGGTGCGACATCAAACAAACAAATAAAAAATAAATAAAATTCTTACTCGATTACTTGTTGTTGTTTGGCGATATAATCTTGGTGTTGGCGGGTATGTGTTTACTTATAAGTAACTATTGAAATATTAATATTTCAATCAACTTTATTTGTCAAAACGTGTGTAAAAAAAACTCTCCGTACAATTCTCACTCGAGTACTTGTCGTTTTGCTTGATGTCACTGACTGTCGATGATGGTTAACGACTATCGTTAGGCCTTAGCGAGGCGTTCGAATGCATCGCTTGCCTTTCGACAATTTTCGGAACTTAGCGATTCGATGTAACGACAAATATCGATACCTACCGCGTACAGAATAACCACTAGCGACAATCGTCGGTAGAATACGTTAACGACAGCGATAATCGTCGCTAACGAGTTACAGAATCCCGCCACTCATCTCGTACACTAATCGTATTGAACATGGTGGCAATCAATTCAGAACCCTCAATTCCTATAGTGAATGTATGAATAACTTTTTCTCATGTATAGCGGTTAATAAGATATTTCGTTCCAAACAAAGGTATAAGAGTTGATTCAAGTAAAGAGTCTCTGCGAGTTGTGCCCTGTACAGCCGGTTGCCTGTACTTGGCGCGAGACTCAACCGAGTCTCTTGATACGCTTAATGTTTTATTCCCTCTCGCCCGTTACCATTATTGACAAGATATGAGGAGATGGAGGTGAAGGAAACAAAAAAAAAAACAAAAATAGGTATATTAAATATATATTGAATATTGCAAAAAAAAGTAGCTGTACAATTTTATTAAGAGAATAAACCCTTAAGCATGACCATTCTGGGCACCCGTGGCGCTTCGCATGAAGGAGAGGTACTCATGGTTATACAGGGAAAGTAGCTCCACCTGTCGAGGCATATAGTTTTCAGTTTGCGCGGTGTTTGAACTTTCCCGCGGCGAGCGAGCTAATTAGCGATGCTGGTTTCCACAGCCCTCTACGTGTGGCGCGCGTCTCGTATCCGAGCGACAGAGTTAGTTAGCATCGCAGCTATTTTTTCAAGCGACACCAGTCATCTCATTGTTTATAAAACAATCTTCTCACTGTAATTTTTTCTGTCAAATAATATTAAGAATAAATCAGCACCTTTATTCTCGATCAAAATATTGGTCAAATCGAGCCGGATAGTGAGAAAGTTAGTGAACGGTTGAAAAATACAGTCCACGACACAACGTGACCACGTCTCGGAGAGACTCAACATGGAGGCTCTACGCCAGCAACGCGGTGCGGCCAAAACAAAAGTGACGAAGCTCGAGAAGAAAGTCGACACCGAGCGAAATTCTGGGCAGCAAATATCAAAAGAAAAAATCGAGGTGTATTTAGCAAGATTGGAAGATATACGCTGTGAATTCGACGACGTGCAGCAGCAAATCAACGCCATCCAAGTTGGCGATCCGACAGTCGCCGAAGCAACGGAGGACGAGGCCTTCGGTGACAGGTATCTCAATCTGAAAATCTTATTAAAAGAAATGTTGGCTAGTGTGGCATCAATACAAGCCGAGACGCGTCCATCGCTGAGCGATGAGGTGTTGGTACGCGTATTGCAGCAACAATCAGAGCTCATGCGACGATTCGGTGAAAATAGCGCCGGCGGCGATTCACAAGCTACAACGTCGAACAACGACGCCATTGCGCAGCTTGTCCAACAGCAAACCGAGTTACTACGCCGATTCGCGGACGGAGGTAGCGCTGCACGCAACGATTCGAGCGTAAAATTACCAGTTATCAAGCTACCGATGTTCGCCGGTCGCACGGAGTAATGGAAGCGGTTTTCGAAAACATTTAAATCGCTAATACACAAAAACTAAACCATTGCTGGCGTTCAGAAATTTCAATACCTGATTTCGTCACTCACAGGAAATGCTGCAAAAATTGCCGAGTCGATCGAATTGTCAAGCGACAACTATACGGTCGCTTGGGAGTTGTTGACAAAGCGTTACGAAGCTCCAAGGGCGATAAAAAAGAAACACATACAGTGCCTTTTCGCGATGCCGCAGATAGAAAAGGAATCGTCAAGTGCCATTCGAGAATTGGTCGACTACACACTGAAACATCTAAGAATTCTCGAATCTTTAAAGTTACCGACGGACAAGTGGCACGATTTAATCATACATATGATTGAATCGAAGCTCGACAACGTGAAACTTCGAGCATGGAAACAGGACTCCAACGCAGCCGATGCAACGTTGTAAAAGCTGACCGATTTCCTGCAATCACGATGCCAAATCCTCGAGCGCGTCGAGGCGAGAACCAAACAGAAGGACGTCACGAGCAAGAGTGAGGTCGAGAAGCAACAAGCGAAGTCGCGCGTTAAAGAAAGGGCAACAAAAAACGAAAAAGCATCAACACTTGCAACTTCATCGGGGACCGGAAAATGTTTTCTATGTTAAGGAAAACATTTTCTTTACCACTGCGAGAAATTTATTGCGAAGCCAGTTGACGTGAGGATGAAGGAGGTTCAACGAATGAAATTGTGCATCAATTGTCTTCGAAATGACCACTTCGTCAAAACGTGTCGAATAGGAACCTGCAGGGAATGCTCACAGCGGCATAACACGTTGCTGCACCTTTCGGACACGAAGGAAGGAGTTATCGTCAAGCTCCCGGACTCCACTGCAAGCAACAAAACGAACAACGTCTCGGTTCATCACGCATCGGATGACCCCAGGAGGCAATGCGTCATCATGGCTATAGCGGTAGTCAACGCAGCACGTGCCAACGGTTCAAGGGTCGCAATACGTACACTTTTAGATAGCGCAAATGAAGCAAACTTTGTCACGCAGTCGGCGTGCAATAAGTTAGGTGTTAAACGACATAGGACATCCGAAATCATCACGGGGTTGAATGAAATGGAAAGTAAAATCTCTCAGAGTTGCAACATTGTGCTACAGTCGAGGAATTCGGGCTTACGCGTAAACGTTCGTTGTTTCATCGTGCCGACGATTACAAAAAATTTGCCGTCGGTGGAAATAAATCGAAATGCGTTACAAATTTCGTCGAACGTCACGCTCGCGGACATCGAGTTCTACAAACCAAGCGCGATCGACATGTTAGTAGGCGCGAAATTCTTTTTCGAATTATTGGAAGCTGAAAAAATCGAGCTCGGCAAAAATCTTCCGGTAATACAAAACACGAAGCTCGGGTGGGTACTCGCGGGATCTATCGCACTCGCGCACACGCCAAGTTTGACTTGCACTCGCAGCACAATCGCGACTTTGAATTGCTCACTAGAACATTGTGAACAGAAATCTCGAGAAATTCTGGGAAATCGAAAACGTACAGGCTGAGACAAATCGAGTCCTTTCATCGGACGAACGACAATGCGAAGAGTTCTTTGTGCGCACGACGGTTCGCGACGATGAGGGACGTTTCGTGGTGCGATTGCCATTTCGCGAGAATCCGAGTCAATTGGGTCGATCGCGAGAGATCGCGAGTAGACGATTGGTACAATTAGAACGTCGTTTCACGAAAAACCAAACCTTGTGAGAACGTTACATAGATTTTATGCGCGAATATCCGAAGCTTGGGCATATGTCGCCAGCGAACGAACTCGCGCGAGACAACGAACGTCCAGTAGTTTACCTACCACATCACGGGGTAATTAAGGAAGCTAGCAGCAGCACAAAGCTTCGCACAGTATTCGACGCGGCGAGCAAAACCAACTCCGGGGTAGCTCTAAACGATATCCGTCATGTAGGGCCTACCTGGCAGAGTAATCTGATCGAAATAGTCACGCGTTTTCGAATCCATAATATCGCGTTGACCGGAGACTTGCGCAAGATGTATCATCAAATAATCGTGCATCCCGACGATCGCGATTTCCAACGTATATTGTTAAGAGAATCACCAAACGAGCTCGTACAAGAGTTTAGATTAAATACGGTTACATATGGCGAAGCGAGCTCGGCTTATTTAGCAATCAAATGCGTTTGTTGACTTGCGGAGCGGGCAAAAGACGACTATCCTATCACCGCGCGAATAATACTTGATGAAATGTATGTACACGATATTATGACTGGCACCGACGACGTACAAAGAGTCGTCGCAGCACAACGACAACTCACGGCCCTGCTACAAACTAGCGGTTTCGAGGACCATAAGTGGTGTTGAAATCGCCCAGAAAGTCTGGCTCACGTACTTCGAGAACGACGAGAGGAGGTTTCGACTCACAGCATCGACGCGAACGACACTTTAAAGACTCTCGGTCTCGAGTGGAGTCCACGCGACGACCATTTTCAGTTCGCTGTACAGCAAACAGAGGCGGCAACTACGAAGCGGCAAATATTATCGGCAATCAGCAAATTCTTCGATCCCCTCGGATTGATTGGCCCGATCTTGACAGCAGCCAAATTACTGATGCAAGAAACGTGGCACATAAACTGCGATTGGGACGAAACTCTTCCTGAGCCATTTGTCGATAAATGGGCATTATTTCGGCAAGAGTTGAACTCAGCAAAAACGTTGCTCTTCCCGAGGCGGATTGTCTCCTTCGACAAACCACATCGATTGTTCATACACGGATTCTGCGACGCTTCTGAGGGAGCGTATGGCGCTTGCCTGTACATCCAGGCCGAAGACAAAAACGTAGCTCTCGCTGCAAGATTGCTGTGCTCAAAATCCCGAGTCGCACCGATCAAGGCAACGTTGATACCCAGATTGGAATTATGCAGCGCAGTCTTGCTGGCGCGCTTAATCGCCGGAATTCAAAGGTGTCTGAGAGTAAGAATCGACGGTATACAAGCTTGGTCGGACTCTACAGTTGCACTTTGCTGGATTCGCGGCGACGTAGGTCGTTGGAAAACATTCGTCGCGAATCGAGTGACGGAAATCGTCCAAGCATTTCCAGCAAAACATTGGAATCACGTCAGTGGCGAGGAAAATCTAGCCGACCTTATATCTCGCGGGACGAGTCCACGCAAACTCGAGGAGTGCGATCTGTGGTGGTCAGGGCCTTCGTGGCTCAAGGAAAAATTCCCAGCACCGCAGAACGATACTAAAGAGCCATCCTACGACATCATCGAGATAATTGAGGCAGAAGAACGCAGATCAGCTCCGACGTACAATCTGGTTACCGAAGAACATCAAACAATTCAAGAAATCCTGGACAAATTTTCCTTGCTAACGAAAATTGAGCGAGTATTGGCGTATTGTCTGAGATTCATCGCGAATCTCAAGACGCAAGCCAGGGAGCGAGCTCTTAAACGACTATCAGTGGTTGCAAGATTCACATCGACGCATCGTCAAACACACTCAAGCAGCTCCATTCGAAGCTGAAATTTCGGCTTAAAAGAGCGACCGCAGCCTGAAGACGTCCAGCAAACTCAGTCAAATGCATCCATTTCTTGACGAATACGGAGTCCTCAGGGTGGGCGGTCGACTGCAACATGCTTCGTTATCCTTCGAGCGTAAGCATCCGATCGTGTTGCCGGCCGAAAACCGTTTTACAAGACTAGGTTATTTGAGCGAGAGCATCTACGTTTGTTTCATGCAAGCCAATTATTACTCTTGTCATCGATCAAAGAAAAATATTGTCCTCTCAAGGGTCGATATTTAGCGCGACAAGTGTGCCATTCCTGCGTCCGGTGTGCAAGAAGCAAGCCGCGAGATTCATCGCAAATCATGGGAGCACTACCGAGCGACAGAGTGCGTCCGAGTCGCGCCTTCATGACCACCGGCGTTGACTTCGCGGGACGAAGTCGTCGTCCAGTCGCTAGGTTCAAACTTCACACCACAATAATCTTGGTTAACGAGACGTATTACAGAATTCAAGCTTCCCGATCGATTTAAAGAGAAGCCGGTAATTATTTATTGTGAAAACCGTACCGTATCGTACCGTACCGGTTTAACCCGTACACAGTGGACAGTAGTACTTGCTTCTTGTACATGATGATTACAGGAAACTTTAGTGTACGATCAGTGTGGGTGTCTGAGCAGTACTGCATAAGGCGGTATCTAAAAACAGATCATCGAAATATCATCGAACATATACCTCCACCACCACAGCCTCCGCCATACACTGTTTTCATAGGATACAGCGGACAGAGTACATGGGCTTGACAGAGTATTCTGCTGATACCGCAGGATGTATCAGAGATGGCTAGATATGATACCCTATAGCGAGTGATTCACTGCTGCGTGCATCTACATCAGCGTCAACATGATCCAGCGGTATCCGGTAAAAAAGAAAACAAGCGGCCAGCGGCACTCGCGAACGTCCACTGATGTACAGTCTGAGAAAGTCAGTAGAATCGTTACAGAGGTACATTGCACACAAAAATTTATAAAGTTGTACGAAGAAGAAATGGCGCACTACGACGGCGAGGAATTTTTGCGGCAAAGGCGTATACAAAGGGCAAAGACACAAGTCCTCTACCGCTACGCAAACCCCGAACAATATCCAGAGGAAGAGACCATACGAAAGTGGCTGCGATTAGGTCATTTAACGGGTGTACTGTTAGTATCGATATACATGTCGAAACCGGGAGCCCTGGACGCTGATGATCTATACGGCGATAACCCCGACATGATCTGCCGTAAGGGCGGGGCCTCTGGTGTCAGACCTGTGATGCTCCCGGAGCTATCTATAGCTGCTATACTGGATAAGGGATACCGCGATTTCACACAGTGTAGCGTGACGCTGGGTTTTATCGGTGATCAGCGTTGTAACGATACCCCTTACGCACAGCGCGTATGCACCCACGAGTGGCTGGCAAAAGACGAGTGGCGTATGCCGACGATGGTAGTCCCAAGTGCCGCATCACATATCGACGACCGATGACGAGATTAACCCTAGCCATGCTACGGAGCAGGTGTAAACGACCCACACCGAAGGAGTTACCACGCCACGCACCTATGCATCTGGAATCGCAGGCGTGGTTGGCTGCAATCAATCACCTCGAGAAATTACGCGAAAGCTGCGTCACCCTCTGGTGTTTGAGGGCTATGCGGGCCTACGAGACAGCGCTAGACATTCTGGAGAAACGCTGCAGGCTGACAGAGTTTATAGGGTGCGTTACCCTGGCGACACGGGATGGCCCACCACACCTAAAATATAAGGAATACCGAACGAGCGTGGTCAGCATGCCCAGCGGCCTTTACGCGTACCTGGAAGCACTCGACGACACGTGGGATGTCTATACAAGCCACGATGTGTACGATGAGGAGGGAGAGCACGCGAAGGAATCGAACAATTTGGGGTACTATGCAATGGTGCATGCCCAGTGGCCTTTACGCGTACCTGGAAGCAGTCGACGACACGTGGGATGTCTATACAAGCCACGATGTGTACGATGAGGAGGGAGAGCACGCGAAGGAATCGAACAATTTGGGGTACTATGCAATGGACATGCGAACAGCATCCCGACGTAACATTCGACACGTACGTTGTATGGCAATTTTTCGCGATGAGAGCTACGAGACCCTGCTGCAGGATGGTCGCGTTGGAAAGGATATCACCGTGCAACTCATAGGTGGTGATATCCATGAGTTGGATACTGTAAAAGATTGGTGCGATCTTCTGGTAGCTACGGATTGTAAAATAGAGTAACATGATACGCATCTCTAACCCTTACATCACGATGGAGAGAGATGGTGATGCACGCTGGAGCGGTGTGCGTCAGCAGATCGCTGCAACTCCCGACGCATCACCTCTATGCTGTTTTACCCGTATTATGGATACATGGTATTTCGGGATCGGTGAACAAGCGATCGATAAATACTGTATATATATTTGTCCGTTTGTTACGATTGAAACGTTTTACCCAATTTTACCCTATTTTCAACGGATAACGCTGCCATAAGAAAATCGTGATTTTTTCCGCTGAATCAACTGTTTTACATGGTCACGTTTTAAGACATAGTCTGCTGGTTTTGAAATTAATATCGCAACGACTGTAAGATGGCCTCGGGCTATATGTACCCTGCTTTAGTTCGTATCACGACGTCCCGGTAGACAGACTGATCACCTACAGCAATCAGCAGTTTACAAAAAAAGGTCATCTGTAACGAATATTCGCGAATGTATTGGCGATTTCGTAAAGACCCGGCGTCTGATAACGCCTATAAACGCGAGATTATTCTCACCTGTGTGGTGCAGAGAATTAAGATATTTTGGTTTACGCACGTTAACGCTTAGATTAAAAACTGTATTTTCCCATTGTACTCTACGCGTGCTAACCAGAGGTCACGAGAGAGGGTATTTTAAAAACGATCCGTACATACTCTCGTTAGCCGTAGCGTGTATTAACAAACGAAGAGTGCGCGATAACCGTATCACCAGGGCTATTATAGCCGATCATGCGTTCTACGAAGGTATGTATTTTCCGCTTATCGGTAATATTGCTTAAATAAACTACTTTTTGAAACTATATAAATTTTACAAGAATTGACGTGATTTCACAACGACGACGCACCTGAGGAGGAGGAGGATCGGTTGCTTTTAGGGTGCCTCAATCGTGTAGAGGAGGTTTACCCGGATCCAAGCACCAGCACAGCGATGATGATGCAGCACGCTAACGGTAAAGCATACTTTTTAAAAAAAATTTACGGATAATATACGTTTTTATTTTAAAAAAAAATGCCAGGATCATCGACAACGCTGAACACACGAACGGATGAAGAAGAAGAAATGCATTACGGTACATGGGGTATGTGTCATACAGCGTTGGAAAAAAAAAAGAAAAAAATGTGTTGTGCTATTCATAAATTTGTACAGATGCATTCATAGCAATCACGTCGGACGCCAGCAAAGACGACGACCACCAGGATGATATCGACGATCGCTCCACCGTTTCCAACGATTCTAACGAGCACGATCGAGGTAATAATGATAAAGTACAGAAACCGCTCAAAATTTATTTGTGTGAAAATAAAAAAGTAAAAAAAAATTGTAGATTCGCTCGATGCTGATATAGACAACGATAGTCGAGAGCCTATTGTACAGGGTGACTTACTACCACCACAGGATCAGGACAATGCTGAAGAACCAATACTATGGGTTATCAGGAACGGTGTTTACGTAGAGGCGGATGCCGACGAGGCTGCTGAAGTATTAGCAGAGCTCGATGATGATGATGACGAGAATCTAAACGACTCGAATACCTACGAAGAAGGTAACGTATAAAGTTATGTTCCTTAGCGGTTAACGCTTTTTTTGTCGAAATTGCTAACTTTAAAGTAATGTAGGGGGTGATGAAAGCCAGTTAGACGCGCTATTCTCATACATCGGGTCAATATTTAATCCTCGTGAGGAATGAGATGTCAGTATGCGCTTAACACAATCTTTTTTGTTTAACAAATAAAATTAAAAATTTTATTTCCAAACGTTAGATGCAGAGGACGACGGGGTATGTCGGCAGATCAGCGGTGGACCCCTTCTTCGACCACAGAGCGACGACGATGACGACGACGGAGATATCAATAACGACGTGCTACCGCCGGGATACAGATTTACAATACATTCCGATTACTTCTTCCGATCTACTACTTCCGATACATTACGGTATCATGGTTACAAGGAGCAGTCAGAGATATACACGTGTACCTCACAAGCTTGTGTACCGCGTGGGACTATATAGGTCTAACGATCAAATCCGACAGTTTTGCGTGCGGGGCAGCGTGGCTGTCGTACAGACCGGCTCGAGAACTTCTCGAAAACGATGTGTGGGGTGTGATACCGTTCGTCGCACAGGGCGCCCAGGCATTCCAAATAGATAGGTCTTTTTTCATCGAGTCGTGTATAGTCGAAGCGCACAAATTTGTAAAAAAAACACTCTATCCTGACCATAGTAAATAACGATAATCTCTGTCTACCTAGGTCGCTCGCTGTGGCGATGGTACACGCTGAACGCGGGGAAATACGCTCTGGGGAGTTGCATAAGCGATCTTTTTAAAAAAAATTTACGGATAATATACGTTTTTATTTTAAAAAAAAATGCCAGGATCATCGACAACGCTGAACACACGAACGGATGAAGAAGAAGAAATGCATTACGGTACATGGGGTATGTGTCATACAGCGTTGGAAAAAAAAAAGAAAAAAATGTGTTGTGCTATTCATAAATTTGTACAGATGCATTCATAGCAATCACGTCGGACGCCAGCAAAGACGACGACCACCAGGATGATATCGACGATCGCTCCACCGTTTCCAACGATTCTAACGAGCACGATCGAGGTAATAATGATAAAGTACAGAAACCGCTCAAAATTTATTTGTGTGAAAATAAAAAAGTAAAAAAAAATTGTAGATTCGCTCGATGCTGATATAGACAACG